ATATACCTTCATTTAAAATAGCTCTTTCATCAATATTAAGACTTTTTATAACCAACATTCATTCTTTAATCATTTTTCTATTTTGTAACTTATCAAAATAAGTTCCAAATGAGTTCGAGCAAAAATTTTTCTTCTAACATTTCTAATCAATTTTTATCTTCCTATCAATTTTTATCTTTCTACGAGGTAAAAAGTGTCGTTTTAAGAACAGGATATTTTTCATGATATAAAATCCGTTTTTAGTAATTAACTTATCGTTCATTATTAACATTCTAACTTATGTAGAGAGTTTAATACGCCATTTTGCTGATAAAGACTGGCTGACGTCATAGGTCACATGTCTTCTTGGAGTGCAATGTAAAGGATTTCGCAGTTGTATTATTATTATAATGGGTCAAACAATCGACTATCTATTATAAAGCTAAAAATGACTTCTCACATTTATTGGATTGTCATAGCAGAAGATAAATTCTGAATGAAATAAGTTTAATCAGAAATTTTTTAAATTATAATATTCACTACACATCATCATGCTTATCATTTAAAGTATGTATTTGGAATTTAAGAAATAGGTTATAGAAAATATAAAAATAATAATGCAAGTTTTTAAGTCTAATGGAATAAAAAAAATCTTTGAAATATGTTTTTCTGATATTTTAAACCCATTAATGCTCAGTCATCAAAAGCTGTCTTTAAAAAAGTTTTATGAAAGAAAACAAAATGGTATTTCAAGTACTGTTATATTAAGCTTTAAAAAATGTTCCACTTCAGGTTCAAGTATATCAAGGTAGACAAAAAAATATCCGATTTCTGCAGAATATATCCTAATAAGTGCCACCTCTTTTTCTTTTCTTTTCTTTCTTTTTTTAAAAAAAAAGGAAAAAAGAACAGCCTTTTGAACTGCTTGGCATAAATAGGATTAAACGTTAAAGAGAAAAATAGTTCGATTTTGTATAGGCTTCTGTCATTTAATAACGTAATTTATACAAAAAAAAAATTCTTTTGAATATAAGGTAAGGTTGAAACACAAGGAATTTAGTTTAAATGAAATATAGTTCAGAAGCGAGAAGATATTTCAAAAAAGTATTTTAATAAATAATAATAAACAGCGACAAATATTTTAAAGCAAAGCGTTCTATTTCTGTATCAAGTCTGTTGCCACTTTTTTATATATAAATGTTAACTTATGTAACTTATGCGAACCTTGCATGCTCTAAAATTTAACTTCTACACAATGATGAATTGAACTCGTCTTGCAGAGATCTTTTCGCAGAAATTCCATTTAAAGATTCCTGCAAAATGTCACTTATAAAAGGCGCTTTTCCACTTTAAATGAAATAATTTATTTTTTAATGAAATTGAAAGGAGCAGCATCGATCCCTCTTTCCCTGCTGAGGTCACTTGTTTTTCTTGAATGCGAATTTTCCGTTTTGGCAACATGCCCAGACACTCTTCTGCTGTCTGAGAGTTATCGTTTTAATATTAAATCTTTTATGGATGAAATCATCGATAGTTCTAGATTAATTTGAAATGAAACTTTATAAAGAATTTTTTAAGAATTATGTATCTCGTTCACTGTACTAATCAAATATTGAATTTCCAGAATGGTAAAAATGGAACGAATTAGTTTTGAATAGTCACGCAAATGCAATTCATCTGGTCAAATCATTTAGTTTTATCATTCTTTTATTTTATTATTATTTATTTGTAGGAGAAAAAGTTGTTAAATAATATCGTTCCGTTTTTGAATTTTATTATCAGTTTCGTTCTGGAAAAAAAAGTGCGTAATATTTTTATTTTTTATATTATTATAAATGAGGTCATTGAAAAAATAATTTAACATAGAGTTTCTTAAATTTGTTTTATGCGATTTGAAATTTTTAGTTTAGATGAAAGCACTCATTTTTAAGTAAAATTGTAAGCTTCAGAAAAATAATTTTTCGTTTGCAAATATTTTTTTTAAGTTTAAAATATAGGATACTATTTCATTATTCATTTTAATTTTATTCAAAAAAGGAGATACTTTTTTTAAATGTTTTAAGTTTAAAGATTAGTATAATTCTTTCAAAGACTACTACAGTCCCTAGCCAAATTATTAGAAAGATTCTATGTAAAATTATAATTATGAGGGGCTTTTACTCGGATGAAACCGGTTTGCTTTTGTTTACGCTCCTCTATCAATTCATAATTGTAATTCCTTTATAATTTCAGATTTTTCTTCGTTTCGTGAAATCTGCAAACAATAGGGGGGAAGGGAAAAGTGTGGCTGACGGCGCCCCAAGAAGATTGTGAAAGGATAAAGTGTTTCAGATTAGAAAATAAGTACTTTTTTAATTATACTACAAGAAGAGAAATCAAAATTATTAAAAAAGAAGCTACATTTCTAGTGGAAATACAGCAGCAGAAATTCAGTAAGAAAACTGAAACCAATGGAATATATAAAGAAGTAAACAATGAGAACTGAAGTCGTCAGGGGGTACCATCGCCGGAAACTCTCTCTGTACCCTAAAGGTTTTGTCAAGGTTGAGAGGAGATAAAATACAAAAGTATAATACTTAAACTAATACAAAAGAAAACGATGTTCAAAAGCATACTAAAAAATAATAAATCCTAAAACCAAAGAACACAACACACTACAAATCTTTAACTAAAATTAAATGAATGAAAATACAACGCCCCCTAATTTAATGCGCAGATGGAAGAAAAAAGAAAGGAAATAATAAGCAGACCGAAAGTATAATTAAAGAATTAATTATACTTCATTAATGCTTTTTTTTTTTCAATTTTCAAAAAAATGAGGGGAAAAAACTTAAATGCATCGTTTAAAATTTTCAACCTAAAAAATACTTGCATTGAATTTTTTTTATTGGACAGGGAAATTTGACCCATTTTTCCGCCAGGGCGTTGGTTTCTCTCCTTTCACACGCAAAGAAAAGATTTCCACCATGAATACTAAAACCGTTTTAACAAAAGAACACAAAAACTATTCTTAGACAAGAACATTTATTTAGCCTTTTGAAATTCATTATTTCGAAAACCCACTCTGCTTTCTTCTTAAATATTATTTCGTGATTTCCATTAAGTATTTTTGCACAAACGAGAAAAATAAAAATGCCAGAAAAAACAACAACTGAGTCAAATCAATGCGTAAACAGAATATACTAAAAAGGTAAAATAATCAATTGAGACTTATTGCTAACTGCAAAGTGAATGGATTTAGTTAGATTTTATTTTAGCCGTCGTTGAACCCAACCCAGGGATTGGGTCACCTTCAGTATTGGTTGCCTTTGTAGAGGACTCTCCCGCATTTGCGTTTGATGGTGAGGAAAACCACGAAAACTTCTGGATGGACTCTAACCCACTGAGAATATCAGCAGATTTAGATAGATTAGGATTGTTCACTTGGGGTTGTTATTAACATATACAGCAAATATTAATTTAGTTGAATTAACACTAAACATACCATAACCGATCAAAAGACCGCAATAAATGCGCTCATCATCCTTTTCTAACAATTATATACAGTTAATATTCTATTATTGTTTGTTACGAATAATACTTGTAATAGTATACCACAACCGGGAGAACAAAGTGTATTGCTTTATAAGGATATCAGAAATGACGATGTCTGCAAAGACTGTTGTCAGAATAACTGTGAATTCAAAAAAAGGTGGGCATTTTTGTGTCAGAAAACTAAATGTACATTAGCTTTATGCTGATAGCTTTACTTCAGTTCTAACTCACTATTAGTTTTTGTCCAGAAAAATGTCAAAACAATCAAGTTCTTAGAAGAAATAATATTAATTATAAGAACAATAATTCTTATATATTCTTATAAGAATTATAATTCTCATATATTTTTATAAGAATTATAATCATTATAATGTATGTATATTATAATAGTTATAATTATTATAATTTACCTATTATAATAAATATATATTTATTCTTATATATTCTTATAATTATAATTTTAATTTTAAGAATTATAGAAATAATAATAATTAGACGAAATATGTTTGCGGAAAATGTACAATGGAAGCACCCTGAATATGCAAAAAATGCGTTCAGCAATGAATAAAAAATTCTTATTCTTTGTGTTCGTAATGCATAAAAATTGTGAATATGCTATTTTGTTTCATTATAATAAAGTTTTTTTTTAGTTTATTACCTTCCGAACATCCATATTTCTGACATTCCATCAAGAAGTCCGGTCATTTGACCGGCTATGGTAGAATTAGGCATGTTTATAAAAATGTCGCTACACTAATGTTATAGATAATAATATATTCGCAATTTAACGAATATCAAAACAGTCCGTTTATAACAAAAACAAAATTGAATTACTTAAAATAAACTTAAAGCAAATATTTCGTTATAAAAAGTGTATCGCTCATTTTTTTTCTGAATGGCTCAATAATTTTTACTATTTTTAAAATTTCGTATAGTTTTAAAATATTTTCTTCCCATAAATGGATTACAACTGTCTCAAATGAACGAATGTAGGAATTCTATTATGTGTCGATAATAGTTTTTAATGCTAGATAATAATTTTTTTTTTACATATAAAAATATTACGAACATTATAACAGCAGCTCATAAAGTCAATTCATGACAATTTAAACAAATATAAGATTTTACATGGAGTGTAACAAAACATTAAAAACACAAACATTATTTATTTACACAAAACATTAAAAATGTGTATTTAGAGAAAACTCTAGCCAAACTTATCAAATATATTAACTATATAACAAATATGTAACAAATTTATTAAATCAAATTAATTAATAATTGTGTCATCACATTTTTAGTTTTTTCTCTCACTCATATTGATTTCAATGATTTCCAAAAATTCTTATCATTTTAAATCTTTAGATACATTAATTTATAGCAACTTTCTCAAGAATAGAATACTATCATAATTACGTAATAATAATTTTTAGTGTTAAATAATTATAATGTATGAACATAATTCTAAAAAAAGAAGCAATACTTACAGTTTGTCAATTCCTCTAATTCTTCCAATTCCTCCCGTGTTAGTTTGCTGTTGTGCTTCCCCATTCTGCTTTCAGTAAAGCATTTTTTGGGCCCCCTCAATACTCCGCGAAGAAATTCCACGATTGACGTCTTCTTTTATCTTCTGTTTGCCCCGAATCACATACCCGGGTAGCAGGGCAAAGGAATTCTTTGGGATTTCGTAGGAATCATTTCTCGGGACCGAAATAAAGAATGGGGTACGTCATCAACACTGCAGTTGCTATGGTGAGGACCTTGCGGACAAGCAACGCATGCGTGTCCAAGGTTTCTTTTTGAATTCAACCAATCAAGCGATGAGAATAATATAACGAACAGTATTTGATCGTGAATGCAGGAATAAGTGAAGAATAATATATTTTTCTAAGTTTTTACGTCTCCTTTCACTTTTATATTTGCCACAAATAAATAATTTTCTTCTAAAAGTAAAAATTGCATTTTTTTCCCCACTTGTTACAAATTGAACGGTTTACTGGAAGAAAGTGTTTCGAAAAAACTAAAAAAAGAATGAATTATGTTCTTTTTTTTCACTTCAGTTCGAAAGCGTACATTTTAGTGAAAGGGCATGTTTGGTAACATTTTAAAAACACTAAGATCTATGGGTTAAGAATACAGTCAAACCCCACTATATTGAACCTTCAAGGGAATGAAATTTCGGCTCACTATAACCGGGAGTGCACTATATCCGTACTGCAAACACTCATTTTTCAGAACCGCTCTCTTTTATGACGCATTATTTAAGTAAATGACCCATAAAATGAAATGCAAAAATGATTAAAAAACAATAACAAAAAACGTGTTAATTTTTACTACTCTTCGTCTAGCATACAAATAATTGAGGGATGGGAAAACTGAGATAGAAGAAGCAAACAAGAAAGCTACATTCCCCTCAATAGATGGTCTTAAAAAATCAGTATATGTATTTTACGTAGAAATTTCAAAATTAAAAAAAAAAATGAAGAAAGAAAAAAAATCAGTCGAATACAGAAAAAAGTTCCTCTCTTCTTTTGGTTCACTCTATACACAAAAAAATTACATTATACGTGCATTTCGTTCACTCTATCCTGGAGTTCACTATAAACCATGTTCACTATAACGGGGTTTGACTGCATTAAAATTTTGGGGTTTAGGAATTTTTTTTTCTTAACCAAAATCTTTCTTACCCTTAAAGGAATACTAAAATCTATTAAGAGCAATTCAGGTTTTTTTTTTGCCACTCAAAATCGAACATAGTAGTAGAACATGTTAGATAGTCAATTAAAATGTCTTGGTTTAAGAATATTTTTTCTTTACACAGATAATAGCAGCTTATAAATCATGTTATTTTTTAGTTTGCTCTGAGTCATTTAAAATTTAACTGTTTTGTTAAAAAAAAATTAACATTTTGAAAACATGAAATTTTTTTAGTTCAAGAATTTCATCACCCAGAATTCATTCGTATCCCCTATAAATATCAGTGTATAACGGTTAATCATCTGGCGGAAGAATGGCGGCTATCGAACGGTTAAACCATCCCATTTCTTATGGATGACCTCAACAATTCCCTCTTATGGATGTCCTGACCAGTGGTCAGAAATACAAGTAGTGAAACTACTGCACTTTTTTTCGTAGTGTAGTGAGTAGACATTAATTCTGGCTCAACTACTTTTAGCGTTACTTTATTAACCAATTATTAAAACATTTTTCTTTCTTATTTCATTCATAAATACAAGAAACGAAACATGATACACAAATNTTTTTTTTTTTTTTTTTATCTGTAAGAGACATTTAAGTCAGTTTACTATCTCGGGCAAGTGAAAAAAGTTAAATATGAGTCCTTGTATGATAGTTCTTAAAACAAAGAACAACACAAACGTCAGTAAAGGACTAAGCCATTCTCTTTCTTACTCTTATTGCCATGTAAATTCAGCAACCATGGTATATACACAAAATAAGCGTGCAGTCCAACAGCAAAACTCCCAAATAAAACTTGGCAATTCGCAGCAGATTATTATTATTTGCTTCCGACCGAGTCAACATTCTGCTGCCCCCGAGTTTTCTCGGGATGACACCTATTTGCACTATATACGTACCCGAGTTAACTCGGGATAATGAGGGTTAAAGAACGCAACTGTAAAAATCTTGCCGTCAATGGCCGAAAATGTCTGCAGCTGAGCGTAAACAGGAGTTATGTATCACGTATAAACTAACATTTTAAACTAACATCACGAATCACTTAGTTTACAATGAAGCAAACTACTGAACATCATTAAATATCAAACATCACTATTCTAAATAAATCAACTTATTTTGTACTCTTTAATAAGCATGCAGAAATTTTAAGCGCAAGAAATTATATGCATAAGAATAATCATAAGAAGAGCATTGGTATTCATGATGTTTTCTTATAGCGAAGAAGATGATAAACTCGGAATATACCTCTTTGGAACGTTACAATACTTTATAAAGTCAATCCTATGATTCCAAGATATATCCTGCTGAAATGTATTTTCCCTTTTTTTTAAAAAATGAAATATTATTGACTAAAATCAACCATTTTAAAACATTTTTTGACCCGTACTCTGTGACTGCGAATGACCGAAATGGGTGATTATTGACTTCACATAGTCCGGTATGCCCTACAATAATGTTTCTTCAAGGTGCCACTGACCGGTACTCCGATCTTTATCAGCAGATATTAAAATATCGAATAAATATGAACATCCAATCGGATATTACAAATATTTCGGACATTCTCTTGACATTTACTGTAACCTCTATACATTCCCTTCTCATTCATCATAGTTTTTCCTTTTTTTTCTAAAGTTTCTTCGAAAGCAGAGAGAATTTTAATTTCATAAATATACAATTGTAAGTTTATAAAAATCATAAAGGAAATAAACGATTATCTGGAATTGAAAAATCTGTACTTGTTAAAGAAATTTAAGGAAAACAGCTTGTGGGAGGAAGTAATTTGACTTTTAACAGTAACAAAAAATTCCTTATTTCTTGCATTAAACTTTTTTTTCTTCTTTTTTTTTTAAATTTCCATGTATGAATGTCAAGTTTCAAATCTGGCAACGTCTAATATATATATATATATATATATGCATGTGCTACTGCTTGTTTTTTTTTCTTCTCCTCTCTATGATTGCTAATATTTTCCTGTCATGGAAAATCCTAATTTACATGTAATTATAGTAAACAACGCTTGAAATAAGTTAAAATAGAAAACAAAATATGAACCCCTTTCAATTCTAAGCACTATTGGGGGTAACACTATGAGGGGACCCTTCATCCGTGATAAGGCATAGAATCGATGTCTTAGGGAATTGTATATTTGTAGTGGTAGACACACCTTGAAAAGAAAAATCGAAACTTTCGATTCATGACGATGTTATAATAATGAATGAAATCTTTAATATAAAGTGAAAGTGGAAAAATCTGCCTTCATAATTCGATTACAAATGAGATATTTTCTCTCTATCGTCTAAATCAGGGGTTTCCAACTTACGTGAGGCCGGGGGCCACAATTAAAAATACAAATCAAATGGTGGGCCGCAACTTTATCAAAATTTTATGCAGGACTCTTTTATGTTTGAAGGAGCATTAAATATGACTGTCAGATTTTTATCAAGTTGTGCAAAACAAAAGTATTGAATTACAAATTAAAGTAAGAAGTAGATTTTTAAAAATATTTAATTGCATATTAAAAAATTCGGGCTACAATAACTTTAATGTGCACCTATGTATTAAACAATTAATGTGCAACAGATATCTAATTGATAAGATATGAAACTTTAAAAAGGTTGGTATTAAAACTTGCTTATTAGCACAAAATGTTCAATGAGAAAATTGAAGTTTGTCTGTTGCAACTACCAGAAAATAGATATTTACTTTTAAAATTTACAAATGTGTGTGTAAATATTTTTGTCCAAAATGAGTGGTTTCAAAAAGTTAAATCGGAGAATTTCTTCGAGAAAATTTCTGATACACGCATGCTAAATTCTATTCACGAAACACAAAAAAAATGAAATAAAAAAGAGCAACACACACGATTATTTTTTTATTTGAATAAATATTTTCTTGGATGCAAAACCTGAGAAATAAATTTGTTTGCCCCGTTGGTGTGTTAAATTTCACAGAAACGAAGAAATTAGGTCTTTATTAACAAGAAAAGTATTTTAAACCCATACAGATTTTTTACGAAAATTGTCCGCAAAAAAATGACAACTAATATATTTTAGTTCGCGAGCCACAAAAAAAAGCTTCGCGGGCCGGATGCGGCCCCCGGGCCGCCAGTTGGAAACCACTGGTCTAAACACAAAAAATTATCAATATTTCAATTTTCTTGAAAGATATAAATTTTTTGTTTAGAGGGATTTTTATAGAAAATTTCATTCTAAATTTAATATTTAAGTTTTAAATAATAAAAAATATAAAACTGCATCACTTAAATGCGATTTTATAACGAACATTGTCGACAACATTTTTGACGCACCATTTCTATAATTATAATTAAAAAATAAGTAAATTTTTCCTGGTGACGCTTTGATCCGGCATCCTATGCCCTTTCAAAAGACAACGATTCCCAATAAATGGGCCGCGACTCATTCGGCCACAATTTTGCACTCAAAAGCTTTCCGTCGCTCGTAGTCAATAATGAAAAAGCGATAGATGTCATTCTAGTTGGGTTTTTTTTTTTTTTTTTTTTTTGTAGACTGCCATTTTGTTCTATTTTAAAAGCATTAAAATAGAAACAATTTAAGAAAAGAAAGGAAAGAAAAGGATTTGAGTTTACTTGCGTTCGACAAACCAATAAGTACCATCAATGCTTTTATTTAGAATAAAATGAAAATTCACAAAAAAACTTAATTTTTACTGATACTTAAAATGTGAGGTTGAAGCATATGTTTTGAAATAATATTAGTAAATAAAATGTCAAGGTTTTCCTTTCATAATTAAAGTTTATTACATAAATCTTTAAAAAAAAAAGGACTAAAGTTTTCTATCATAATTATTAAAAATGTATGTATATTCCCTGTCCATATTATTAGACGCACTCTAAGATTCTATATGCAAAATTATAATTATACAGCTACATTGTTTTTACTCTGGATGAAACCGGTTTGCATTTGTTGACGCTCCTGTATCAATGGATTAACATTGTCATGCAATGCGTTACAAATAAATACAAATATGGGAGTCTATAAGAAATCTCCGGAATAAAAACTCATGACATGTAT